CATTTGAAAATTTTGTAGAAATGTAACCACTATATTTTTCTGTTGCTTTTATTCTGATACATATAAACAGATCTGCTTAAAAACAATCGCGACACTTTAGGTTTTGAGACATTGATACGAATTCTCAAACTTCCAGTTGGTTTGATAGCAAGAATAAAAATCTTGATACGAATTATCAAGTTCTCCTCATGATATTATTGGTGAGGAACGTTTATGATTTAAACTTTGCTTTATCATAAAGTTCCCCTCCAGATATTTTTTAGTAAGGATCATTTATGATTTAAACTTTGCCTTATCACCAAGTTCTCGTTAGGATATTTTTAGTGAGGAGAGTTTATGATTTAAGCTTTGCTTTATCATCAAGTTCTCCTCGGGATATATTTATTGAGAAGCAGTTATGATTTAAACTTTGCTTCATCATCAAGTTCTCCTCGGGAGATTTTTAGAGAGGAGCGTTTATCATTTAAACTTTGCTTTATCATCAAGTTCTCCTTAGGATATTTTTTAGTGAGGAGAGTTTATGATTTAAACTTTGCTTTATCATCAAGTTCTCATCAGAATATTATTAGTGAGGAGCATTTATGATTTAAACCTTGCTTTATCATCAAGTTCTCCTCGGGATACTTTTAGTGAGGAGCGTTTATGATTTAAATTTTGCTTTATCCTCAAGTTCCCCTCCGGATCTTTTTAGTGATGAGTGTTTATGATTTAAACTTTGCTTTATCATCAAGTTCCCCTCCGGATCTTTTTAGTGATGAGTGTTTATGATTTAAACTTTGCTTTATCATCAAGTTCTCAGGATATTAGTAGTGAGGAGTGTTTATCGTTTAAATTTTGCTTTATCATCAAGTTCTCAGGATATTAGTAGTGAGGAGCGTTTATAATTTAAACTTTGCTTTATCATCAAGTTCTCAGGATATTAGTAGTGAGGAGCGTTTATGATTTAAATTTTGCTTTATCATCAAGTTCCCCTCCGGATCTTTTTAGTGATGAGTGTTTATGATTTAAACTTTGCTTTATCATCAAGTTCTCAGGATATTAGTAGTGAGGAGTGTTTATCGTTTAAACTTTGCTTTATCATCAAGTTCTTCTTGGGATACTTTTAGTGAGGGGCGTTTATGATTTAAACTTTGTCTTATCATCAAGTTCTCCTCAGGATATTTTTAGTGAAGGGTATCTTTTCGAAGGAGAAGTTAAAAAGAAACGCGAAACGTTTATCTTCAAAACACGTGCCTCACCGTGAATAAACGTATACATATATATGTGTGTGTGTGTGTGTGTGCGTGTTGTTTTTCTTCCAGGTATTGGTATTTAGGTCTTTTAGACCTGGGAGAGTCAGGTTCAAAGACCTCTTCCACCCTCCTGCACTTGATTAATATCTGTTCAATATTTATTTAGTTACTACAAGAGGGCGAGAGTTTAGCTAGTCCACGCTTTCACTCTGACCCCTTTCAGGGCCATGTTCATGTATGAAATTATATTAATATTGATGTGTTAATACACTTTCACCTTATTCGAGTGTGTTAAAGTTCACACTACACGAACAGTTCCAGTTGTATTGTTCACATTTTTCAATAATTTTAAATTTCGGCAAGAGCATTCACATATAAAAACCCTTTTTAATGCTTTTACAGTAAATTAAAATTATTGATGGTATCTATGTCTAGTTTGCTCCTGAAGAAGAAAGGTCCACCGTTCGAAAGCGCTCGGGTTATAGGGTTTTTATTCATTTCTATCAAGAGTACTTGAACTTATGTGTTTTTCTAACATCGTGTATGTCTAGTTACAATTAAGTAATTTATTTTTTTCTTATATAAATGTTAATAGGGAAGATGTACTTAAGAATATTTTCATAATGTGTGGGCGTGCGTATATGTTTATTTTTGTTTACCCGCGTTCTTGCATAGTCTACCGCAAGATAAGATGTTTTTACGAATTTGCTTTCTAAGTAAATATTTTGTGAAAAATGTACCTAGTAACATTTTAATAACAAAGTTATCATTCAAGTTGTGATAACCTGACTCTCCTAAACTTTCCAGTTATTATTGGGATTACGTCCGAACATAATGGCACCTATCTTATGAATAAATCAGTATATTTTTGTTTCCTTTTCGATGGGCTTATGATATCTAATAGTCCTATTTAGTTTATTATATAGGATTCGCCTCACCACGTTTATTTTCTGATCGTGTTATATTATTTCTGATTAGACGCTCTTTATAATACATGTGGTACGTGCGTAATATTAACCAACAACATGTAAGAAATGCAAATTCGAAACGCAAATATCAACAATATCCTCTGTTCGACATTTTAAAATCCATTTCACAGCTTGTAGTTTAGTAGTGCCAATTACCATGGTAAAGCCATAATTACCTATACATCATTCCAAACAGTGCCTTGTTATTACAATACTACAAACCTGCAGGCATTTAACACTATGAAATACCTCAGTATATGTATATACATATACAATGGACGTTCGTTCCGAACAGTACTCTATTCACATATATATGATAAAACACACGTATTCCGTAACTGCTATAAGTCTATATTCTGGTTGCCTTTTTATATAAGTTAAATACAACAATCTATTTTTATGTAGGCCAGCAGAATTTTTATATGAATTTACTCAATCACAATACTGCTTAAATTAATACCACTTTTATCAAGATAACTTTATTTCATACGAACATTTTGCAGTAAAGTTATTTGTATACTGTTTTATCACTGTTATATTAAACTGTGAAATTCACATGTGTTCACACATCCGGAACGTCTTCAACAGGTTAAAAGAGTCATAAGTTATAAATATCCAGAGTGTCTTCCACAGGTGAAAGAGTCATAAAGCCATGAACATACAGAGCGTCTTACAATCTATTTTTTTTTTGACAACTTCACTTTAAGGCTGTTCTTGATTCAACTTGTAATTCCTCTATGTTTATCAAATACTGAGTCAACCTTCGGTTGATACGATTCCAACAGTTGTCTCAGCTAACTATATTATATTCGGGAAGACGTGAGTTTATTTAACGTATATTAATATCGGAAGTTGTAAAAAAACGAAATAACAGAAAATTTAGTGTCTTGTGAAATAATACCAGTAAAGCTATATATATATATATATTTACATTCGAGTCATTTTTAAGTTGTCACCATTGGTCAGCTTGGCTTTAGTCACGGAGCAGAATAGCCGCAGGGCCGTCTATTCCGCTACCTTAATATCTTGTTGGATAAGCGTCCCAAGGCATGATGGACGTTTTCTCACCGAGTTTCCTTACACCGTCCCTTCACTGGATACTCTGCAAGCAACATATGGGGCTATTTGTTACTAGTATTAATTTCAAAGTTCTTATTTTTTTGTTTGTTATATAAATGTACTACATTTTCTTTTTATCCTTTAAAATAACATAAAACAAATCTACAACAACTAATAAGAACAAGGACAGCCGCCATTAGATTCCATAACTCTAGTGTATAGTAGTTGTTTCAATGTATTCGGACCTAAATAATCATTTTCGACGACTCCTTCTGTGGGACAGCTGCTGAGATGACGTACTCATTTGTTGCTGTTATGTTACGTCATTTCAGTTATCAACCATACAGACTAAATCTCAATATATGTTAGTCCAATCCTTAAAGAAATACATTCACGTTTGGGGATTTGCGTTTTGGAATAAGCCAAAATTTACATGTACAGTGAAGCAATCATTGCAATGTATCTATCTCAGGATGTGGAGTCACCCACTTGAAGTAAATATATAATACAGACGGCTGATATGAGTATTAAAAACTTTGATTTAAAACACTAAACAAGTAACAACATTTCGACTTGCTTAAGTCATAATCAAATCGAAACGTTTTGATTTGTTTTGTATATAATGTATCTATTCAATGTGAGGATAATGAACGCTGTTATCTGAATTAATATTTACAGCACGATCTCTTATAAGAATAATTTTCAGATAATTACGTGCTTGTATTCGATAGGTGTATTGTTTCAGGCCCCCCCCCCCCAGTGGCACAGCGGTATGTCTGCGGATTTACAACGCTAGAAACCGCGTTTCGATACCGGTGGTGGGCAGAGCACAGATAGCCCATTGTGTAGCTTTGTGCATAAATTCAAACAAACAATTTATTTCGGAGTTGCGCGCAAAGCTATACAAACCCATTTGTGCCCAGCTGTTCTTCATTTTCAACTGATAGACCAGAGAGAAGGCAGCTAGCTAGTCAACTACTAATTCCTTTTGTCTGGCCAAATAATGGGTTTTCATCATCACAAAGCCTTTAGTAAAAGTAATATTATATTCAATTCCAAATACAATAACAGCAACACTTAGCTCATGACTGGATACTATGAATCGAAACGTTATAATGGTTAAAATCAGAACTTCCCAATGTGAAAGTTCCTGTTATTGATTTATATGTTTTTAAAATAATTATTCAGTTCAGTAGGTTCCTTACTAATCATTAATATTACATCTTTTGCCAGAGTATTACTTTTAAATATAATTATATATATATATATATATAGTTCACTTTCCAACAATGGTACCTTGCTCTCTGTTAGTTTCAAAACTATATGGTGAGGAATTAAAAGTAATTTATTTTTTTTATTTACTTATATAATAGGCAAAACAGATTTGCCATTCGAAATATTTGTTAGGAATGAATCACCTAAGATACGTTTAATAATTATTTTAATTACACTTTCATTGCTAAGACATTGCGATTTTAAAGATACTTTCTTAATAAGAGTGCAAATAAATATGAAAAGCTGAAACTGTCAAATTTTACTTAATACACAAGAATTAAGTTTTCAAGTGATTAAATACTGCTTTCAAACTTTCCCCTAACTTCAATTGAGTTTTTAACCTTTTTTTACTAATGCTGCTCATGTAACCTAAACTATAAATAATTCATAAATAAACTTGATATTTCCTATAAATAATTCATAAATAAACTGATATTTCCTTTAAATGAGTCACAGCTAGACAAAATACTGAATAAAAGTTTATTCGTTATAAAAATATCCATACAAAATATACTTTTCAAAAACCAGAACATTTTCCCAGGTGGTCCACTGTAACCTATTAGGTATGTGAAAATAGCATTGAGAACATTTATTTCTTGTAGCTCTTGATGTCAGAGACAATGCTTAAGTGGATTGACACAATTGCACCTTCTACTAAATCAGAATCAATTAACTAAACACTTTAAATAAAAAAATAAGTGATAGTAGCTTCACTTCTGGTATAGTTTAAACAAGATACTTCATTTTGGTTTAGTTACGTTCATTAGTCAAAGTTTATTTTTATACATACCACAGACGTGAGCGATAAGCCAAAAAGTCCGATTTTGACAAACAGGTGGTTAAATTAGTTTTGCTGAAAACTGTCTTCATATATAGAAGCTATTTGATAAATTCGAACTTACTAATTATAAGGAGATCGGTAAGACAGCGATTAATTAGCACACGAAAAATAACAAACAAATTATTAAAAATTATTTTCACAAAATATTTTTTAAATGATAACAATTCATGTATTCGACATAAAAAGGGTTTCGGTATGGAAAATATAATTGACATGTACATTTCACTCATTGCTGTGAAAGATATCGTAATCTGGTCCCACACTATACTCATATAAAAAGAGACTATCATAAAACATTAAATTTGATCTACATTATCTAATATATATAAATCTAATGACATCTCACGAGGCACATTATTTGCATTTCATCTTAATTGATTTATGATAAAAGAATTTCACAAATTATTTAGCTGTGATCATGGCAACTGGTTTATAATTCAAAAATCCTACACCGCTGCTATAAAATACTGAAATGGAATATTTGAAAGTATTCGAAACGTCTTGCGTAGCACTTTCACACAAAAATACCGTAGAATTATTTGGTCCCAACTCCGATTAAATACTGGTAAATTATAGTATTGTAAATGCTCTCGATCTGTAGTCACAAAAATTCAGCTGCTAAGGAATAAAATAAGAGTATTATCTTGGTCTTACATACTAAAACCACAAAAGGCAACTTAATCTACGTAGTAACAAAGATACAGAGGCTGAAAAACGAACATACAATAAGACGATGTGATATTTGCTTCATATATTCAACACATTTCTTCACAAAAATGTTTACTGAAATAGAACTTTCGATATATCGTTGGGAAAATACTGTTCCTTTCAAGAAATAGACATTTCAAACTTGATATAGAATAAACGTTGATATATTAAACAATTTTTAAATAGTGAAACAGAAAGCAAGCTCATTGCGAATGTTCATAGCTCGAATTGGGTTTTACTAAAAGTCAATATAATCAGTTGCTTACCAAGAAAGTTTGTTTGAAAAATCACACTACTCTGTATCTGTTAGCTGCATCCTCGACTAAACTGTAAAAAAGTAGGGCGAGTCATGTCGCGATAAACAAATCAAAAATATGAAAATCCAACACAAGAACTTATCGCTCCTATCTTAAGCCATAGCAGCTAATCTTTTATCTTTTCACTGACAGTATTTTGAATCGTATCAAAAACAAAACCTTACAAAAAATACACCAAAAGTAATTTAATATGAAATAAGCTACAAGTCGTTTGTCAAACAAAGCTAATGAACCCGATGATACTGTTACCGCTGCCAGTTAAAGTAAAAAAAAACAAAAAACAATTAATGAACATGATGATACAGTTGCCGCTGCCCGTTAAAAGTTAAAAAGCAGTTGAGTTAAAAAACACCCAAACATTATTAATATAAATTCCGATCAGAACAAACTACCTAGTCAGAGTGAAACTAAAACTGAACTTGGTAATGAATGTAGCTAATTTTCATTAATTAGTTATCCTTACTGTTAACATTTCCGACCATAATATACTGATAGGTTAATAATATACTAACAAGAACTTGGCTAAAAATTGGTTCTGTTTGCTTGTTTGTAATTAAGCACAAAGCTAAACAATGCGCTATCTGTGCTCTGCCCGTCACGGGTATCGAAATCCGGATTCTAGCGTTGTAAGTCCGCAAATATACCGCTGTGCCACTGGTGGGCAATTTGGTTCTGTAGCGTCTGTAGTTCTATTTTAGCTTTGTTTGATAACGGATTGTAGCTCCAATATTTCTTAAACAAATTAAATACATAAAATAGACAAAAAAGAAAATGAAAGGGTTGAAATATTAAATCTCATTAAACGTCATGGAAGAGTTGCTACATTGCACGAGCTTGAAGGCAGTGGCGTACATGTAGCTAAAATTATGTTTAGAAGTTAGCGCAGGAAAACAATAAATCTACCAGTTAGTAAGGATTCAAGCTTTGTCGAAATCTTTTCCTTCTAGTTTCCTTGCGAAATCCGCAATAACATCTCGGAAGTTTAGAGGGTCGATGTTCTTGCACAGAAAATCAAGAATTAGCCAGTCTCCTAGCCTACACTTCTCAATAACAGATTCAAGATAATCTTGGTTGGCTAGGCGACAGCGAGACTTCAAAATGGTGATCCTAAGTTTCGGTACGAATATGATGGCTGCTCGGTAAATCAAAACTAAGCCAGACATGACAGCTAGTATAACGAACCAGAACCAGAGGAAAACATATATTTTCTCATTTATTATATTGATGGGAAGGATGCACATGGCGTCGTGACGCTGGACATCACCGGAGGAACCATATTTGTGGAAGGTACACTTGGTCAGTCGAGGAAACACTTTGATCATTGGATCGTATCGAACTGACCAGTCCCACTCGGTGAACTGAATAACTTTGGAACCATAAGTAGAAAACTCTCCTTGAAGAAAAGTGTCCATTAAGAACATCTGACCAACCACGTTGGCAAAGTTCATGGCCTCGGCTAGGACGTAGCTGATGAAATAGAAGTTATGGTTGTTCAAATTTGCCATTAAATAATCCACCAGTAACGAGCGACTCTCATCCTTAGCACCCTGTGATAAAACACAAGAGTTTAAGCCTAAAATCAGGTTTTTCAATCTGCCACCTTCCATAGCCTTCCAGAAGTAGCGAGGAATGTAAAACAAAGCGGCTTGTAGAAATAGAACAAAACACACCCACTGGTAGTAGGCATGATAAATTCTTTTTTCTCCTGGGGAATAACTGTCCACACCTGGATAAGGAACTTCCACTCCGACTTTTTTGAACCATGCATCTTCCACACTAAACGTCGTATGTATCCAACAAAACGTGTCCAGTAAGTTCGGAGGTATGTCGTCTTTAGAAATGCAATCGATTGGATCACCTATGTATTGTCTTCCAGTCACAAGAAGACTGCAGGCAATTAAAAGCACCATTGTGCCCTTGTAGTGTAATCGAAAAACATTGTTGTCGATTATAGTGTATTCAGTTTTGAAGAATCCTTTAAGGTTTCCTAAAATATCCATGTTGGCAAAGCAGAGAAGATTCCAAACTTTCTAGTGTATTTTTTCAAAGCAAATTTACAGGCTAGCTAAAAACGTACTTATCCAAGTTGGAGCTAAACTAAGAGCTACGCACCGTATAACACTTGGTTTAAGTGACCCGAGTAATACTTTTAACCAATCACGTTCTACAATGCTAGACATGTAAAATGCTCGATACAGGGCTCTATATAAATAAAGTAATGGGGCTTTTTCGCAATACTGCGCAGTTCAGTGTAGTTAATCGTAATTGCTATGGTACTTGAAGAGAGACTTATGTTACTTTTCGGACCATCCTTTGCTTATTACTTTCTATTTTTTAAAGCCAACTGGTTATAATCCATCGTGATTCTAGCATAAGTTAGATGTATTAAAGAATCAGATGCTACTGGATCTTGTCAATATCTGATTTTAAAGTTACTACAATTTCGTGAATATATAAAGATAATACTAGTAATTCGTGGATATCCTAGTACTTATCTTGTAAGTAGTCACGTTATTCCCGATCGTCTTAACCATCAGCTTAGATATATTTAGATTCCACGATTTTTCATCCTTATTAAATCCCAACAGTTTATTTTTAGTGAAACTCTTTGCATCATTATTCCAACTTATTCTCCTCCACCAGCCTGAGTACTTCCTGTTGGTTATAGTCCAACCAGAAAACTAAAAATTTAAGCACATATTTCCTTCTCATACAGCTAACCCTAACCTCTGTCTATTTTAAAATAAAAAAAGTGACGTTAAAAATATCTGACAGTAATTCCTGATAATATCCAATTAGATATTCAATCATGCACTCTTGTTATTAAAATATTCTGCAGACATTTTTTATTTCTTGCAAACTCGATACCTGACATCTTCCTGAAAATTATCTCTGAGAAAATCAGGGTCGTTTTACCGATTAACCACTGACCAATCAAACATTTTTACTTCTGATAACATTTTAACGTTATAAGTGGATATGTGATACTATATAAAGTTAGTTCTTTGTTTTCAGAAGTTCTATAGTATAACCTCTCTGAATTACTACTTAGTTCTATAGTTCCCTGAATTACTACTTAGTTCTATAGTTCTCTGAATTACTACTTAGTTCTATAGTTCTCTGAATTACTACTTAGTTCTATAGTTCTCTGAATTACTACTTAGTTCTATAGTTCT